TTACTGGGGGATGCTGCCTGGAGCTGCTCGCTGTGGGGCTGGAGTGCAGGGCTGGATCCCAGCCGCTAGCTGGGCTGGGGCAGCACGCTGCTGTTGTTAGCACAGACCCCGCACTATGGGTACAAACAGCAGAAGTTGGTCTTCAGTGAAATAAACACTGCATTTAATGAAACTGCAGATTGTGGACAATGCCTGGCTCTTTATACCATGTTAGAAGTCTTGCTGGTGGCTGACTTATTTTTTGCCAGTGTTTTAAACAGCCTCTTTAGAAAGTGTTTCATTGTGATTATTATGGTAAATTATCAGATTACTTTTTTTAAAAAATCTTTTTCAGGTGCAGGTGGCTTCCTGCCTGCTATGAAACAGATTGGGAATGTGGCTGCATTGCCTGGCATTGTTCACGTGAGTACCTGCTTTGAAAAATCTGCTCTTTTTCTGTTCCCATTTGCCTGAGATTATTGCATTCCAAATGGAAACTCTCTCATGAGAAGAGATAGGGATCAAAGTTCTTCTCAAGGCAGTTTGTATGTTAGGAACCTGAGTCTGACAAAGGAGTGCTTGCAAGGGCAGGCTGCAAAACTGAGTTATCAGAGAGAGAAGCAGCCACTTACTTCATTGCTTGTCTTTTGACATGGAGGTTTTCATGCTGTTTCAGTTTCTTGAGCCACCTTTTCCCACTGTTCATACTAATGGCTTGTTGGTTTTGAATTGCCTCTGCTCTGGAATACATGGAGAAGTGTGGAGAGAGCAGGAAGTGGTACCATTGTCTGTACTATTGTTACTGGCCTCATGTGAGTTGTGACCCTTCAGATGCACTCAACATTAACTTCCCTCATCCTGTGCCTTTTTGGAAGCAAAGCATCACATATAATGATGCAGGAGGAAAATGCTTACCTGTGACTCTTTTCAGGAAGTGCAAAGTACAATGTGGAAATTATCCTTTTCACATTCAATGTTGCATATAAGCAACAAATTACAGACTTTTTCAATTGTCTCTTTTGGCAGAAGTTTTGAATTTATGGATGCAGTAAAAGGCAGACCATCATGCTACTAAATGCCTTAGGAGTCAGGCCAAAATGGAGTAAGGTAGAATAATAACAACCTTCTAAAATGGGAATTTTGGCTGGTAGTTTGTAGAAGAGATGCTACAATCATCTACATATTCAGATCTTTACTTTTTCTCTCTAAATCTTTCCAAGGATTTCTTGGTGATGTCAAGGAGAGGCAGAAAAAGCAAAGAATTCCATTCAAAAGTACTGTTCACTTCAGTGTGTGGTAGCACTTTAATAGATACTGAAAAGTTCAAATTTCTGGTAACTTTCTGGGTGTCACAGGGTGTTTGCTTCAGAGATCTGCTCTCTGCTTTTTTTGACTGTTCTGTAAGTGCAGGAGATTAGACCCTTACCTGAGTTGATGTGTTCACTCCACCTGCATCTGAACATCCATTCTCTTTTTGGTATATTTGTTTGCAAATATGACAACCACTGCCACAAGGCATAGTATAACCAAGGCTACTCTGCAAGCATTGAGTTTCATAAAGCTTTAAAATTGCCTTTCAGAGATCAATAGGCCTTCCAGATGTCCATTCTGGCTATGGATTTGCTATTGGCAACATGGCTGCCTTTGATATGAGTGATCCTGAAGCAGTGGTTTCACCAGGTAAGGATGACTGGCTTAACCTGCTCTGAGAAATACCTGGGGTGGCATAAAAATACTTTTCAAAAGGCAGGACTTTACATTCAGAAACAAAGCAAAAAAAATGAGAATTACAGGAAGTTAAGGGGTGCTTAATTCTTGCACTTAGAGTGTTTATTCTTTATGGAGCAGGTCATTACACTGAGAACAGCTAAACAGTACAGGGACAATTGCCCTTGTGTTGCAGCTTGGACTTGTGATGTCCTTCAATTCTGAAGTCTTTGACCTTGTTTCACCAGATTGATAAAGAACTGACTAGTTTCTTTGAGTAGTTTGAAAACATCTTTTGAGGATATTTCTCCACTTAAAACATAACTTTACAGTATGTCTGTCTTTATAGTAAACACCCAGATCTTTGGTTACTGACAGTCTGAAGCTTGTGTGGTTGTCATGAAACATGATACTCGTGTTTTAGTTTTGCTTTAATCAGTTCAAGTGTTCCTAATTGACTGAGACCCAAAGTCTCTTAGTTTGGTATCTCCCCTCTAACATTCGTAATAGCAGAACCTTCATAATAAAGGTGGCATGATTATCTTTCACATTCGGTGTTGCCTTATAGAATTTACTATTATAAATAGTTAAGCAAAACATCAAGAACTGAAGTTTAGTATTCCTTATAAGTATTTATTACGTCTTATAACTATTTATTATTTATTCCAGTGAAGATTCAAAAAAGAACTTACTTTTGGGTATTGCTTTCAAGAGCATTTTACATCAGGGAGCCATTCTAAGCTCTGTCACTTTTCTTCTGACCTTAGGCAGCAGAACAGGAACATTCTCTCTTCTTTCTATGGGCAGTGTGTTTTATAATTGTGTCCACTTCTCTTTGTCAGCTTGCTGGAGTAACTTTGTAAATGGAAAGCTCTGTAGGCAATCACACAGCTATGTCTTGGAGTCTGAGGCTTCATATAAATCTGTTAAAATGAAACTTAGTACAGTTCTGCTTATTTTCTGCCAGTATTGTGTCACAGGAAAAGGAGTGAGATTGCAGCCTTCAGAATGTGCTCCCTGACATGGCTTTTTCTGCTCTTGCAGGTGGTGTCGGCTTTGACATCAACTGTGGCGTCCGCTTGCTGCGGACAAATTTGGACGAAAGCGATGTGCAGCCTGTGAAAGAACAGCTCGCCCAGGCTATGTTTGACCACATTCCTGTTGGTGTTGGCTCCAAAGGTGTCATCCCCATGAATGCCAAGTAAGAGAATAACTTTGTGCACACATCTCTAGAGGGGACATCTCTGTTGTTTGTTTTGACGCAAGATTCTTAGTGAGAGACTTAAGAAAGGAAAAGTAATTCTAGAATGCTCTCTGTTCTTTCTGCATGTGTGCCTTACCAGGACTGACATCATCATCAATGCACAGTCAGCTCTTTCCTCCCCCATTTAAACCCCTTAAAGGTTCTTGCTGGGTTCTCATTTCTTCTGAAAACTTCCATGAACATAAAGGCCTTTTTTGAAAGAGAGGATTATAGATAGAAAATAGGATATTTCCCACCCAGCGAAGAGGAAAAAGTGATGATGTACCAGAAGTTAATATATTTGTAGAGCTTTCATGAAGTATTAAAAAGCTGGACTTGTTGTTAGGAGTTGGAGGCTGACCATAACATAATAGAGTAATTTAGGTTGGATGGGATCTTTTGAGGTCATCTCACCCGACTCCTTCCAGGAAGGATCTAAATCTAAAGTTTGTTCTGTCAAAAAAAGGCCTCAAGTTGCTCAAGGCCATATCCAGTGGAGTTTTGAGGATATCCAAGGATAATCATCTTATGTGTAGGTGTTTGGTAATTGCAGGGATTTGGAAGAGGCGCTGGAGATGGGTGTGGACTGGTCTCTCCGAGAGGGCTATGCCTGGGCAGAGGACAAGGAGCACTGTGAGGAATATGGAAGAATGCTACAGGCCGACCCCAACAAAGTCTCTTCAAGGGCAAAGAAAAGGGGCCTGCCTCAGGTAATGTTATCTTTCAGTGGGGCTGTGCATGCTCCCAGCGTTCAAATATAAATGTTAGAAAGTAGTTCTCTAATTCTGTGTCTTTTCTTGAAACTCTGTCTGGCATTTCTGGGCAGGGGAAAGATGAGATGGAGGTCAGTTCTGAATAATGCTATATAAAGCTGCAACAGAGGAGAATAATACTGGGCTTACCCAAGGTCTCTGGGCCCATCAGGTTTTCATCTGTTAATGTCTGGTACTGGAAGTTATATTGGGTGGCATTTCCACATCCAGATGCATTGTTTTTAAGAGATAGATGAGTTAGTGTTCAACTTTAGTCCATGTTTGCTCAGCAAGTTAATAGCAGGGCAAGAAAAGATACAATAATAAATGGAACTAGCTCATAACTGAATCACAGTTTAAGAGTTGGATTTAATTTCTGTATATAGTGTGATTTAATTTCTATATATATTTCACACTACTCTGTGTGGAACAATTTGAGATGGCTATACTAATGACATATTTGTAAAGCTTTCTTGTACATTCTTGGTCTAATTGATATTATTCTTTATTAATTGGGGTGGTGCAAAATTACAGCAATTTAACCTCAAAATAATGTTATGTCCCCAATTTTCACATTTGCCTTGCAAATAAGCAATCATCTGTTACAGAGTTGAAAAAATTTGGGCTTGGAAATGGAATATCTTGTTTTAATCTACTGGAAAGTTTTAAGTACGTAATTAACAAGATGTTGTAATTTCTTTGTGGAGTTATAACTGAGTATAAGCCTGTCTGCTTTGTCTGTACAAACTGAAGTTTCAATACGCTATACTCTTCCCGTCCAGGCCAAAGTAAGTTGGAAAAAAGTGGCAGCACAGTCTGTATGTAGATCCTGCTCCTCTTGTTTAATCACAGTCTTGTTCCAACACCACAGGTAGTTACAAATTTGAGCAAAAAGGAAAATGGTGATGCTACTGAGTTCTACTTCCTTGCAGTTTATATGGGCATATTTTTCCCCCAAAAAACCTTTTCTAAACCCAAAACCTTGCTGTAGCAATTTGCCCTATTGCCTGCTGCTGTAGCTCTCCCCTGTGCTCCCAAAGGCTCCCTGTCTGATCAGTGTTTTGTGCTTGGCAGCTGGGGACCCTGGGAGCTGGAAATCATTACGCTGAAATCCAGGTGGTGGATGAGATTTACAACGAATACGCTGCCAAGAAAATGGGCATTGACCACAAAGGGCAGGTGTGCGTGATGATCCACAGTGGAAGCAGAGGGCTGGGCCACCAGGTTGCCACAGGTATGATCCGACTGGTGTAGCTACCTGGAGTGAGGCAAACTCCTCAGTGTGGTCTTGTCACTGACAGCAAACTCCAGCACCAAAGAGCATTTCCTACAGTAAATTGCTGAGAGGATCCTGAATTGCCTGGTCTGGTGTTATCTGTTTGCAAACAGTTGATACGTTCTGCCACAGATTTGCTTTTGCATTTGAGAAATGGCCTTGGGCTTGACCGTTGACACATGAGCTCAGTTTTAGGATATAAATTACAGACACTCTGTTAATCTCAAAGATTGCAGCAAAAAAAGAAGTCACTTAGACTTACTGTGTTTATTTTCCAGATGCACTGGTGGCTATGGAAAAAGCTATGAAACGGGACAAAATCATAGTGAATGATCGGCAGCTGGCGTGTGCCAGGATTGCCTCTGCAGAGGGACAGGATTACCTGAAGGGAATGGCAGCTGCTGGCAACTATGCCTGGGTTAACCGCTCTTCCATGACTTTCCTAACACGACAGGTAGGAACAGAGTTGTCTCTGATGCAGATATTTTTTTCCTGCTTCATCCCTGACATAGAGAACAGAGAGTAGTTGCACTATTTAACTTTATTTCATTTGTGTGTTTCTTAAACTGTTTTTTTCCGGAGAGACTTGCACAAAGCTGTAGTCCTGACAATCTGTCTGAAACCTCTCAACATCACCAGGTTGTACTTGGCAGAAGCTGCTTAAGCAGTATTTTTGAAAACGCCTTGAGCTGGAAACAGAGGATATAAGAAAACTGAGGTTTTATTGCTCAAATTGGGGTTTTTTGTTGCTAAAGCCAGCTTTTCAGAGTTGCACAAATTTGCCTAATTGATTTCTGACTGAATTACAACAGGAAGCTGCCAGTGGGCAGAGAAACAATCTATGCAGTCCAATTCTGTCATTCTCAGCACTGTTGTATTCAGTTCCACTGTGGCTGAATTATGATGATCTTGTATCTCGCATCCTGATTTGTTCTCTTTTTAGGCTTTTGCCAAAGTGTTCAACACAACCCCAGATGACCTTGACATGCACGTTATCTATGATGTGTCTCACAACATTGCCAAGGTGGAACAGCATGTGGTGGATGGAAAGGAGCGGACTCTGCTGGTGCACAGAAAGGGATCAACCAGGGCCTTCCCCCCTCACCATCCTCTTATTGCTGTTGATTATCAAGTAAGTTTACCTTTGGGAGAAGGAAATAGAGAATTCTGAATTAATCAGACAATTTTAGGGTTCCTAACAGATACCTAAATGCTGTGAGTTAACTTTTTAAGGTAACAGCACTGGAATGCTGGTGGGATGGCAGTATTCAGCTTCTGTGTGTGTTAGATCTTTGGGGCACTGAGCTTCTCTTTCTGCTCCAGACACAAAATGGTTGGAAGAACATGAAAGGAAAGAAGTCCTTTCTGGACTTCAGGATTCAGTGGTTTGCCTTGTCTGTCTGTTGGACACAAGGCTTTTGATCTACTGGTCTGCATCTTTCAGAGCAGTTAGTTTTCTAGAATGCTTTGATTCCAGGCACTTGAGACAACCAGGGATGCTCTCAAGGAATGTTAATCTGACTTCCTTTTCTGGAGACACAGTTCATCTCAGATTTTTATTAAGAATGAGATTTTTCAGCTTTTTCTTACGAATGAATGCTTTGCATCCACAGCTGACTGGACAGCCTGTTTTGATCGGTGGCACAATGGGCACCTGCAGCTATGTCCTCACTGGCACAGAGCAAGGCATGACTGAGACCTTTGGAACTACTTGCCATGGAGCTGTAAGTCAAGAAGTTATTTCAGGGAGGCATTGGGATGAGACTTCACCCAGAGAACAAGTTGTTGAAGGGTCAGCCAATGTGTGATTCCTCTGGTGGTCATACAAGCAGACATTAGCCTTGCCAGTAGTCCTTGCCCAGGAGAACTGCAAGGTAGAAGTCTTGGTCCCTTACTGAGTAGTTGTGACTCCTTCTGCAGAAAACCCAGGGGATACTGCTCTTTATAAGGCAGATGTTAGGATGAAGATGTGGAGAATAAGCTTATTTTACGAAATTCTGATACCTCTGAGCTAACTAGGGGGTTAACTGGGCTGAGGCTGTCTATATGTAAAACTCCTCAGTAGTTAGAAGGTGTTTTCTCCCCTGTTATTCATAGTGTGAGACAATGACTGAGGAAGAGAAGCATCTTCCAGTAGATTCCAAGTCCTGAATACTGTTTGGTTTGGGTAAAATGACAGTTGCAGACAAGTGTGTTATACAAATGAAACTTTCCTACTCATCATACCAGAGGTGTGATTTTGCAGGAGCCTGTGACCTGAAGGGCAAATTAATTTCCTGTCTTCAGATTTACTGTGGTCTGTGCTCTCAGTCATTCTGTGTTTGCTTATAATGCAATAATCGTTTTTTTTATAAGAAAGAGTTTTGTTTTTCCAAACTGCTACAAAAAGTAGAACTAACACAACTGTTGGCCTAGGGTCGTGCACTGTCTCGAGCCAAATCTCGACGTAACTTGGACTTCCAGGACGTACTGGACAAGCTGGCTGACATGGGCATTGCCATCCGTGTTGCTTCTCCCAAACTGGTCATGGAAGAAGTGAGTTTAGTACTTCATTATCTTAGAAGGAAAAGGGGGGGTCTTGCTCCCTGGCTGAATGACCCTCCCTGACCTGATTTTTTGCAGTACTAAGCAATTGCCAGTACTGTAAATATGCAGCTTGTGTGATTTCTGATAGAGCTGTCAATTTTTTTGGAAAATGATGTGAAATGTTCTCTGTCCTAAAAGCATGCTGAAAGGCGAGATGCCTGATTGACAGGTTTTGGGGGTATGCTTTTTTCCTCTTCTGCCTGGTGATAGGGATAATTGCTGTCTTTGTGTGAGCATCTACAAAACTAGTTATGTTTTATGGATTTTCTTCTTGAATGGTGTTCTCCCTGCCTCAAATTTACCTTACTCGGCAGCTTTCATGTAGATTAGTAGCATCGTGAAAGATCCTGTTTTAAGATGAGTTCCTATATTTGCTCAAGAAGAGAACTCTGAATGGTCAGAGAACTTTGAGTATTATGACTTCCAGCTCCTCTGCATTAATATGAGCATGCCTTTTCTGTTCACAACCTCACTCATAAAAGTGTTAATCATTTGGCACTATGCTTTTCTGGGTGTTGGTGTTATATGAACATGTTGATCACATTAAAGTCTGTATTCAAGAGCAGCTTCCTTGTCAGATTAGGGGCCAGAGGGGGAAACTCTAGAGTTAAACCTTGACACCTTGACTGCTGTCACTGAGGAGCAGTGAAGATAAAACTTAAAGGCAACCTGTAAAGAACAAGTTGGAGTCACTTCCTACTAGATAATGAGGCTTGCAATTCTAACATGCTGGGGCACTCATTATCTGAAAAACTGGATTAAAATAGCTAATATTTTGTCTGAAATATGATGAGAGCTTATTTGGAAAGCTAAGTGTCTTACACATTTCTTAGATACATCAGGTGGACAGATTCTCTATATGTTCACCTACTTCTACACTCTTCATTGACATGGTTATTTTTGTGAAGAGTGGATTTCAAAAGCCCACGCCTGATTTCCTGTGACTATCAGTTGTTTATAGTTTTGTCTTTTCTTTTTTTTCCCCCCCTCCAGGCACCAGAGTCTTACAAGAACGTGACTGATGTGGTTAACACCTGCCATGAAGCTGGCATCAGCAAGAAAGCCATTAAACTGAGACCTATTGCTGTTATAAAAGGCTAGGAGCCAACAAGGCACCCATGTCTCCAGGCCTTACACAAAACTGACTAGAGTTATCATCTTCCCACACCTCTTGGGCTCTGTAGGATGCTCAAATATCACATTCCTGTTCTGGAAACAACAGCTGAGGATACACCTATTTTTACCACTCCTAGCCATAATTAATGCCCCTCCTCCTTGTTATATGGCATTGTTTTCCTGTGAGGACGGGGCAAAGAAATACGTAAGTCTTGGTTTTTATATGCAGTCCTTCCTCCATTTCCCTGCTCAGGCAGGACTTCAGACTTGCCTGAGTTGTCACTAAGTGCTGTGCTGCAAAACCACCTCCATCATTGAAGGTGGTGTATGAACCAGAGCTGCTGTCACCCCACCTGAGTGCCTGGAGCTCTTTCTACATGTGGAAGTACTCTGATAGACAAGGTGTTGCACTACATAGTCTGTACTGCTGCATGTTTTCTGGTAATTGGGTAAGAAATCTGCAGTCTAGATTTCTAGGACTAGTCTCCTGCTCAGGTTGAGAGGGGCTAGCTAAGCTGGAGACACTGTCTTACCCCAGCCTCTCCCATTTAACACAGCACCTGGTGAATTTGGCTCAGGACAAGTAGGCATTCCCACAGGTTTTTGGAAAATCTGAGTAGAACTGAGTATGTTGCCTTGAGAGGTTTTGTTTGCCTAGTAAAAGTTGTGACTTAACTTAGGGATGTGCTAATCCAACATTTTAAGAAGCTCTGAGCATGTGAAAGTTGGGTTGGGTAATGCTGCTCACTGTGTCCCACAGCTCTGATTCAATGGAGCCCAGTTTCGGGGTCAGGCCCAATGCAGTGGGACTTAGAGTGTTTCTTTTACATTCATTAACCAAGGCTGGAGGGGAAGTTGACCATCCCCACTGGATCATTTTGGGGATTACAATAAAATGGGAAGATGGATGTGGCAGTGTGTCTGTGTCACATTTATTCTGTGTACTTGAAAGCAGCCAACAGACATTTTAGCCACATATGAGCTTGAAACGTGCTGCCTTTTGTGACTTCAGGTGATGGATCTTGCAGAGAATGTGCAGATGGCAGGATTTCTGCAGGATACAAGGAAGGGCAGTGCAGTGCTGTTTTCCCAGCTCGGTTTTGACAGGAGTGTGTTGGCTGTTACCTGTCCTGCCGAGTCCACCACCGGCCAGGGGTGGCGGCTGCCTGCAAGGCTGGATGCCGGCACAAGAGGGCGGCTGCAGGGAAACAACAGCCCAAAGCCACAGGGGAGCCTGCCAAGGACTCTGTAAGGGGAGCAGATGGTGATTGATGGACTGCAGTGCCTTTTGATGAAACATCCCTTTAAGTGCAGGATCTTAGAAGGCATAATGGCATTTCACTGTTGTAATCCCTTTGTTCTTACGGGGTTTTTTAGGTTCAAATACTGTGTTTGTGCAGGTTCAGAAGCAGCACATGTACTTATAGACACTGCTATGAGTTCTTACGGGTTTGAACTTACAGTTTCTTGTTTCCCCCTCCTTTCTTCAGTGGAACACTTCCAGATTGACGTTTCAGAGGTCTGAGACATACTTGCTGAGTTTAAAACAAAAATCATTTCACCTAGAAATGTGAATTAGCCTCCAGTGACTGAAAGAAAAATTGGTCTCAAATCTTCTACAAAAGTCTATGTTCCTTGCACAAGTTTCTGTCTATAAATACTTCAGCTTCTTTGATGTGGAATGTAAGGGGAAAAAATTCACATATAAAAAAATTCACATTTAAAAATAAGCATTTCACAAATACAGTTCTCCTTCCAACTTCTACTTACTGTTACCATTAAGGGACAAATTTAAGTTTTTTACAAGCAGAAATCATAAGTACCATGGAGGTGCTGTCATATGCATGGGATGCATGCCTTATGACCTCTGATCATCAGTGTTTATGCATTAGCAGTCAAGATTGCAAGAAGAGCTGTCAGTTTTGGTTTCCTGTTACAAAGCTGGTGTTAGTTTTGGTTATATATTTTGCTGTATGAAGTCAAGTGCTGGTTTCCTTACCACCTAAAAATGAAAGGAAAAATGTAAGATGTCTCCCAGTTCTTTGTTTGAACCAGGATTTTTTTTCCAGTTCAAGTCTGTCTTTTTTTCTGCAAATAGGGTTGTCCACCAACTTTTTTTTATTCTGCATTTTAAAAAATAAATTATAAGAGGTGTTAGGTAGAGAAGACATGCAGTATTAAATTTCATGTGCTGAAATACAGATGGATCTGCAGGAGCATTTTGGCAACACCAAAGAACCAGTGTGATTATTGAACTATCTCTGCTTCCATGGGGGATTACTAAGAACTCTAAGAAATTCCTGTTGATGATGCACTTTCCTCCCCAAGAGACTGAAAAAGCCTTGGTGAATGAGTGCTAGGCCCTTTTTTCCCTGGGATACCACACTTAGGAGATCTGGTCTACATCTACCCTTGGCACTGCTGCACACTTCTGCTGCACAGGCACTCACTCAGCTGTTCCCTGCCTAAGTTCAGCTGATTCACTCATCTGTGGTCTGCAGCAGAAGGTTTGTTGGCTTGCACAGAGTGTCTGCACTGTCTGCACTTCAGTTGCCTTTGGGTGACTCTCAGCCCTGGGATTGCACCCCAAGCTGAGGGTGCTGTTTGTGGGGTGCAGTGCCAGCTGGAAGGGGCAGCACTCACCGCTGGGGTGCAGCTGATGGCCTCCCTTGACTTGGTCACACTTTGTGTTCCCTAGGTGCCTAACTTCCTTAATTCAGCCTCTCCCAAGGGAAACCTGAGCGCAGCCAGGTAAGCTGCTGGGGTGTATTTGCACCATACTGCACACCTCACGGGTTGGGAGCCTGGTGTCTGATGTTTATCGCCTGGTGTCACATTTGTCACCATCCTAAGTGGGATTGTGGGATTCCTCTTCCCTCTGCAGTGCCTTTGCCTGCTGGAAATGCAGCTCTGCACACACCACTTCCCCCTACGCTGGTGGTCCCAGGCTGGTGCTCTGGCCCAGGAGGAGCAAGTGATCTCTGACACATCTCTGGCACAGACACCCCACTCTCCTCCACTCTCCTTTGTTCTTCTCAAACATAAACACACTTAACTGGCCTCTTCTCCCCCCACTGCCCCAGAGCAATCAGACAGAGCCATGTCCCTCCTGCAGTGTGTGCCAGCACGCTCCCTGCTTGCAGGAAAGCTTCAGTGCAGCAGCCGGCCCTGCTGTACCTGGCATTCGCTTTGCTCTCTGGAGCCCTATCCTAGCCCAAATGGTTTTGATCACCACAAATTTGTTTTAGATTTGTTTTTCTGACTGGAAAGGTGGCAGTGGGAGGTGTACAGTGGAAGAGCAGGAGCTCTGCAGTCCCCAGACAGGGAGATACTGGGTACAGGTGCTTTGTCCTCTGCACCATGGGAGGAAGAAGAGGGTAACTTCCTGGCACTCACAAACACCAATAATTATGTGGTTTCTGGTGGGGTTTTTGTTTGCAGTATGTAGCAGGAGGGTGGGGGTCATGCTGAGCAATGCGTGAGGTGGGAGAGCAGAGGGCACAGAAATCCCTCTGTCCCCCATGGCAGATGTGCAGCTTGGTCTCCTCAGGCAGCCAACCATCCCCTGAGGAGCTGCTGCTGGCTGTCATAGTGCTCAGCACATCCCCATCTTGGTGCACCCTTGTTCCCAAACCCCATAAGACTGCTTTGGGTCATGTTGTATATATAAATTCAGAAACCAAAATAATCACTAGTCTTAATTGCAGAGATTATGACCAGGAAAGGGAAGTTGAATCATCTGCCAGCACTTAATTTAACATTTACTAGGTTAGCAAAAGGCACGCAGGGGCTAGGCTGCCCTCACATGCTGAGGTGTTTGAGTCAGCCTTGTATATTGGAGCCTATTCCAAGAAACCACCTGGTTACCCAGCTCTCAGCTCTTAAGAATTGTAACCTGTTTGTGCTTTTAATCTTAAAACCAAACAAACCAAAAACCTGCTTGTTTTATTTTTAACTAACGCTTGTTATTGTGGTGCTTTAAATTTGTGTCATTCACAGACAAGTTAACAACCTTTAAAACCATAGGTAGGCTGATGAGTTCCTCTACTGTTTCCCTGCCAAATGTTTAACCAATTCTTGGATGAGGACTGAAAAGGTATCATTGTAAATTATTCTTTCCCTCAAAGGTATTTATACTGTAACTGTTGCTAAAGGGATTTTCTCCGCCTTTCATTGGAGTGTTTTTGTCAGGCAGATACACAGAGCCATGACAAGCCCTTTCTCTCCATTTTGAGTATTTTGAGTATCTGTATATTTTGAATCTACCCAGAAAGGTCTTTGCCCATCTTCTGACACAAGCTGTGCATGTCTGCAGGGCTGGAGCCCTTTCATGGTGGAAGAACTGAGCCCTGCAGAGGAGGAGAAAACTCCATCCGGGAGCCTTTGCCCAGCCCGAGACGTGGGGCTGTGCTGGCCGGAGGGTGCCTGTGGGTGCGGGCAGTGCTGGATGCCCTCCTACACCAGCAGCCCCAGTGGGCCCTCCATGGCACAGCATCTCTCCCCAGGGAAGGGAGCTCAGGGGGACTGCAGTGCCCCTGGGCAGCTGCCAGCGAGCAGGGAGGGAGAGCCCTGCCTGCAGGCACGGTGTGCCAGCAGCTAAGCTCCTGTCCTATCCTCACTCCAGGGCTGTGGGGTGAGCTGGCCTTCACAAGTCTCATCAGGAAGTCCAGGAGATGTGCAGCCTGCTGGCTGCTCTTCTGCCAGACCCCATGAGCTCTTCTATTAATGGCCAGTGGATGAGGCAGAAGTTTTATCTTGATAGAGAAACACAAAGCCCTGCTTGAGCCAATATTCCTTTCCTTGTCTCTCAGGCAGAAATTCCAACAATTTGATGATTATCAATAGCAGCCAAAAGCGCCATTGCTGTCTCCTTTCCCCCTGCTTTTCTGGCAGAAAGTGAATCCTCCATCACAGACTGGTCCTGGAAAGAAAAGTTCAGCTTAAGGCTCAGACATTCAAGTCCATCATGGATTTTCCAGCCTGTACCAAGTCACTCCATCTTCCCAAGTCTTGGTGCTCTATTTGCAAATGGGAATAAAAATTACTTCCTTCAATCTCATTTTTTATTTGTCTTTCCTATTTAAATACGAGTCTATGATTCAGGGACCAGATCCTTTTGCACCTATGAGTGCTGCTGATCACAGTGGTACCTCTCTGTGAAGCATGGCCTCAGCTGTCCCATGCTCAGTGTGTGCTGGCTTCTCCTGAGGCTTCAGTGCAGCTGGAGGGATGGGTTCATTCCTCTCACAATCCAAACTGCAAGTAGGAGAGAGTGTAAGCTGTTCTGAATTTCAAGTAGTCACAGCAAAATTTAGAATAACTTTTTCCTCGTCTTCTGGCTAGAACACAGAGCCACTGAGCCAGACTCTCTCTTGGAGTTCAGTGTTAGTGAGTGCCTAAATTCCTCTGTGCTCATGTGAAATGCTCAATGTGCCATCTTTGTGTGCTAAGGGGCAGAAGCTGAGAGGGTGTTGGGTTGCTCTCTCAGGGTGGACCAGAGAAAGGGGCGGTGTTAGGTGGATGCTTTCAGTCAGGAAACATTCAGCAATGGATGTCAGCACATGGAGGTTCATTTTCCTTTACATCACACTTCACAGTCCTACCTGAAAAACCTTGAACTCTAAAGATCAAATTAAAATGCTGCATGTCAGGGAAGAAAACAATTAAAAGGCCTCCACCTTTGGTTTCAAACACATCCTTATGGATCAACCAGAAATTGTTCTGCTCTTCAGCTAGCCATGTTTACCATGGGAGCTAGCCCTTAGTGTCGTGCCATAAGATGTGATGGGCCCTGAGTCAGTGCCAGAGTCCATTTCCCCAGCCTGCAGGGCCTCTCGTGCCAGTGTCACCTCAGCTCTGCCTTTGCCACCTGCACCTACCACCCTCCCCAGGCTCCATGGCACCACCAGGGATGAAAGGCTGGGTTCACTGTGGTTTGTGTTCAACCCACCTTTCACAGTGCCTGGTGGACCCATCTCCCCCCCTCCCATCTTTGGTGACTCAGCCAAAGAATTTTAATCTCCATGGTCTGTCTGTAGGTGTAAAATGTAATTCAGTGGAGTTGGGCTTTTTTATCCCGAAGCCACAAAACTGTTGTCAGAAGAAATTGATTCACGCAAGTGAGGGGAACAAAGTGCTGCTGGGGAGGATTTGACTCAAGACAGCACTTCAAATGGAAATTTCCCTGTTTGAAGTGGAAACATCCTTCATCCCTACCCCTTTCATTTCTGTTATGCTGTGGGAGCGGGGGCTCAGGGGGTCTGTTCAGGGGAGGGGTGGCTCCTGCTCTGGCTCTTGTCCACAGGAGGTTCCTGTCTGCTGGCTGTGGGTGTCCTCACTGCTCATGGGAGCCCTGGGGAAATGTTTTTTTGGGGTGAAGGGGCTCCTGCAGCCCAGCTTGGAAGCACCTCAGCCACTGCCCTGCTGCCCCAGGGCTGCAGGCTGGGAGCTCTCCATGCCTGACCAGCTCTGGGCATGCAGGTCTGTCCATGTAAACACTGAGCCTATCCCAGGCACCTCAGATCAAATCACAGGCTCTTCCCCTTCCTTCAAAGACATCTGAAGCCTAAAGGAAATAGATCAAACATGTAAATTTGAACTGAGATTAATTATACATTTGCAACTGGAGGGGGAAGGAAAAAAAGTCATTAAGGTTTGACTGCATTAACTATGCCTGTGGGGATGTTTCTTTGTCTCTGCATGTGATGATACTCCAT